GCCATACATTAGGTAATTTTAAATAGAAGTGATCCTAACAAATTACCAATTAACAAAGGCCTAAAGCTTGCAATAACTGCTTTGTCTACTTGTTTATCTTCTCTAAAATTTACTTTTAACCTGAGAGAAAACTTCAGTAATACATTTTAATTTGTGATAAAGGGCCGGGCTGGAGCCTAAGCCGAAAGAACAGTTTGAAGTGTTTGGCATTCTAACTAACCATAGATAGTAAACTCCTTACAAAGTAAGGCCATGTTACAGTTATATATTTTATTATTAGTTTGCATCTTCTTTATTTGAAAGAATTTTGTCGACCTTCGGACTAAATTTTTTTAAATCGTATCGTTTAGAAAGCCATTTAAAAGTAAACAGTGTAAAAGTAAAATGTAGTTCAGACTGTGATCTTCGCAAACTCAAATTAAGTCTCAATTAATAATGTTTTGTTGCATTTCTCTTCGTTTTTCCCAACATATCTGAGAATTTCACTGCACAAGAACTAGGAGGCTTGGCCTTCAGCACTAGTTTTATAACTGGTTTCCTCAGGAACCTCAACAAGTTGAAGAACTTCTCATCACTTGATAGTTTGCACCTTTTTTATTAATAGAATAGGGATAATGGAAGAAGTATTCTGTATAACTGGGCCAACAGACACAAAATTCAGAGGAAGAAAAAAACAAATTATAGTACCATGAGGTAAACAGCAGTTTAGATATCAATTAGAAGAGACATGGAGAGTGAACAGCTGTCATTATGATTATTATTTCACTGTTTACTTGTAACACTACTTTCATTTTCTTTTTCAAATTTCTTTGATAAATGAAAGGCAGACGGGGGGCTGAAAACCCCAGGGTTGTGCAATATTAAGTAGAAAGTAAATGGAAACAGACCTAGACTAAACAAGTCAGTTTTTTAAAAATCCAACAAAACAAGCAAAGACTCATGATTTATCAACGTGCTTCTTTAAACTTCTCACCTCTACTCTTGTCAATTATTTTCACCCAGACTTTAGTGTCCTCATCAATTCACACACAGTAACTACTCACTGACCAACAGCTCCACGGGGCACCCCACCCCAGATTTTTGTTCATCACATTCAGATTGCTGACTTGTTTCACGTGTCACTCCCTTCCTAGCAGCTTTTTAAATTGGAGGCCTTAGAGGTGGGGCCCAAGCTGTTTGGGTCCATTCATAATCATTCTGGACAATCTGTTCTAAAGGACAGGTGTTCCCTGTCCTTCCTTGGGAGTGATATCCTCAAGTTTATTGATCATTTTACAACTCTGCTACTTCTAGCATATTCATATTACTGTTTTAGCACAATACCGGGTTTGAATGGCTTAAGTTCAGGGCTCCTACTATACTGTGACCAGCTCTCACGTTATTAGCTTATGCAATATTTGTTGAAAGCTGCTTTCTCAATGTTATATAACATTTGTTCTCTATCCAACTACCCCCAACTCCTAGAGAAATTATTTTTTTACTCTCTCAGCTTCCGATACTAGTTTCTCATACTCAGTAAACTTTCCACACATGCATCAACTAACCAAACTGGTCGGGGGTGGAGGAAGCACTTCAAGTGGGTAATGAGGGACAGCGGTGACATTTGCATCCTCGGTGCTTAGGGCAGTCCCAGAAGCAAAGTAGGGGTTCGGTTAGGGTAGCGTGTTTCAGCGGAGAAGGCGCTACTCTGCCTATTTTAGGAGTAAAAAATCAGGAAGATAAAGTAGGGCAATTACCAATAATACTAGGAAGCGTCTCTTTCCTTCCCCTCTTCCAAGACCTGGTATAAAGGGCAAAAACCCCGGTATTGAAGACTTACTGGCAGGGTGGAGGAAGGGAGGAATAATGGAAGTTCTGTGGGTTTGCCTGGGCAGAAATGGAACGTAAAGGTGGCTGGTGCACTGCACAGCTCTGAGGGCTACTGAAGATGGAAAGAGAAGGGCAGGATCGGTGGCGTTCCCAGGTCGTTACCCCAAAAAGGCAAGGCCGGCACAGTTGTTGCCCCAAGTCTGGGCCGGGCCACTCTGGGATTTCCAGGCGTCGGTTCCTCCCCCGGGGCGCGGCCTGCTAGGGCCGGACGTACCCACCCGGGTCCCGGCACTCACCCCTGCGGTCTCCTCAGCCGAACATTCCAGCAAACTCCGGTCGATGGCCTGCACCTCGGTCTCCAGCTCCGACGCCATCTTCTCTCTTCCTCCCCAGTGCTACTGCTGCTATTCCTGCTCCGAAAGCCACAGCCTTGCCTCAGCCCCAGTGGCCGCGACCGCCACCCCTGCCCCAGGCAGTCCCGGAGCCGTCCAAGTGGCTGCGGGTAGAGCAGGAGAGGGAGAGAAGGGTGACGTGAACCGGACAGACGGGACCGCGGCCTGCTGCACTCGCACCCGGGCTTAGTGCCCAAGACTCAAGTCACTGGCTCGTCCCTGACCCGGGGAAGGACACAGAAAACCCTAGGCCTGGCACTCTCGCTAGCCACTACCGCGTCCAGCACCGGGAAAGGGGCAATAACACCCAGGAGGGGAAGCGAAGCCTCCTGGGTACTGTAGTAGTCCCCAGCACGGCCAGGAGTGACGTGATTCCCTTATACGGTGCCCCAGGCGGGCATTATGGGAATTGTAGTCCATCTCCTATCGGGAGACTGAGTAAATGCCAGCTCAGTGGGCGGGGCTTTCTGCACAACTAGAATCACGGGAAGAGAATACTGGAAAGAAGCACCCCCGCGGAAAAAGGCTGAAGAGCAATATACTATGGGAACTGTAGTTTAATTCCCCCCAATCTCATTGGTTGATTTTTGTATCCCCAGCTCCTTGGACAGTGCCTTGCACGTGGTAGACACGCAAGTACTTGTCAAAGTTTGGCTTATGGTAGGCATTCAAATACTTGTCAAAGAATGAATGAATGACGTTCTATTCCTGTAGTTCTATGGGTCTTGTCATCTATCATACCCTATCCCTTATACTAATAACGGAAGTGAACATTATCCAGGTTTTTGAAGACTTAAAACATGTTTTAAATTTTTTCAAACTTAGTTATGACCGCTTACTAAAATTTATTACAAACCTTGCTGCAAAGGAAAAGGAGTCTATCAGGCCAATTTAAAGATATACTCTCGAGAGGGACATTTTATAGAAATAGATAATCATTGTTAGATACCAAATAAAATTATGTTTAGTTAAAAGTAATTAGACTCTTGACCGACAGTTGGGTGACTGGGCTTCTTAAAACAAGTCTCTTTAAAGTTTGTCAGAAAATTGCATATACGTTTTATCAGGTGTGTTAATTTATTCCCAGTAGGAGGTTGTGAATTACATATAGGGGAAAAACAAAGTTCTGACCTAGACCAGGTTTGGAACATGTTTATGATTATGTTTTTTCTTTAACAATCCTTTCAGATTAACCAGGTTTTTTAAAAAAGGAAATAAGTAATCCATAACCTAACAGTTCAATTAAGCCATGTTACCACTTTTAAAATTAAAAGTAATAATTGTTTTGTATAAAACTGTGTATGTATATGTATAAAAGCAGAAATTCAAACTCAAAAGGAATGTTTCAAAAAAGGAAAATTGAAAACTACCCATTCCTCTTACCCAAGTCCTTCTCCCCAAAGAAAATCATTTTTAACACTTTCTCGTGATTCTGTCCAGAAAAGAGTATGCACATATCTGCACAGATATCTATAATGAGATATCTTGAAATATTCTTCTATGTATTACTTTTTTTTTTGCTCAACTTCCTTGTCCCAATCCACTCACTAGTCAGGGTCAACCTGGAGGAAAATTGGGATTGTCCCAGCCTAGAAGCAAAGACGACATCTCTTGAGGGGTACAAGCATAAAATTTAAGCCATTAAAATAGATTGTAAATAAAATTTCTATTTTTAACATTATAATTCTCTTCCTTTTGTTACTTTTGGATTGATTTTAATGTTCTTTCT